AAGAGTTCGGCGTTCTGACATGACCGGAACCCCTGTGCAAAAAGCAGACGAACTTGCGCTCCGCATAGGCGCTATGCGCGTACTGTTCAGTTAGGGCTAGTTCACACATTTGCGTTTGAGTGTGAACGAGTGCGTTATGCGAGCGCTCGTGACCGGTTACGACGACAGAGCACACTGGCGACATCTATCAGGTAGCTCTAGAACTCTTCCGTTCTGCGTATGGACTGAAGGTTTTTCCGTAGTTGCGAGATGGAATTTACGCAGTACCTATGAGAACCTATAGATTCTAACATTGTGAGAATTAGCTGAACTCCACGGTAAAAAAAAAAAATAAATATATCCCCCCCCCCCCAAAAAAAAAAAAAAAGATATGGTTGCGATTTTTACCTTTACGCATGAAATGCAGTATTCAGGATAGATTGTTTCCATCGCTTGAAAGAAATTAAACCGCCGTTCCGACATTGGGTGTGTCACGCGACGTATATTTATCCGCTAAACTTAGCGGGGAAACTGAATTATCGTATCGGTCACGGGACCTCAACCTCTTCCGCTAAATTTAGTGGGGAAACTGAATTGGTCTATCAATTTCCCAGCTAAATTTACCGGAGAAAATGATTTGGTATATAGTTTACAAGGCGTAAATTTTCCCGCTAAATTTGGCGGGGAAACTGATTTGACGTGTACAGGGTGTTCACGCCATCTTCCGGTCGTCATGACAGGGGGAGAGAGATACTCAGGGTTCTCCCACGTTTACCTCGTGTTTCACTAACGAGAAATCGCGCGAGAGCCACGCTCTAGAGTTGCCCCAGTCTCGCGCTTCCAAGTTGCCGATGCCCACCGGGACGAACAAAATGACACAGTTAAAGGTCTTTTGATGATCTCGAGACTAGGGACGCCGGCGAGCTTCGGTGATCGCAGCTCAGCAGACGGTGCTCGCTTGCTTCGATCTGCTGCCGACAGATGACGCAACGTGGCAAACACGAGGATGCGGCGCCAGCGGCGACTCGACCGACTATCTCCGTACAACGACAGGTGCCAACCAGGTCACTACGGTACACATAAATGCAAGCTGACAAGGTGCCTCAGGAAAGGAACCTTGAAAACCAAAGCAAGCTAGTTAAAACGTTAGAAAATCGGGCATTACAGAGACTCGCGTCGCGCTGAACGAAGCGCAATAAAAACTTTCGGAAGATCGTTTGCTAAACACCAAGACGCAGCTCGGCGACCCTTGTGGGAAAGCTCGGTGCGTATCTTCGGCGCCTGGGGAGGTGGGTGCCATCGCCGATGCACCTGCCGTTCACAAAGTATAGTTGAACGGGTTTAAGGGCTTGTAGGTTTTAAGTCGTTCCCAAATATATAGACCAGGTGGCTCGAATAGGTAGTCGTGAAGATGCGCCCACGATAGCTTCGGAAGATTTGCCTTTTCCTCGAGAAACAAGCGCTCTTTCCTTTCACCCAAGGAAAACAAGTCGATCACGAATAAGCAAATTTCAGGACTCACCGCAGTTACTACTCTACTGCGTGTCTTTTTTCAAGTATGCGCTACTCACTACGGGTTCTCAAAAACAATAGCCAAGCGAACGCCCCCCCTCCCCTCCCCTCCCCCCCCCCCCCCCCCCCCCCCCCTCGGGAAGTTCGGTCACATATATGTTTTCGTTTACCTCCGCACAGCCTGCATAGGATTAGGTCACGCGTGTTTCCCCACTTGGTGTATGGGTCACGTGACGTCAGTTTTCCCGCTAAATTTAGAGGAGAAAACACACGAAGGACGAACGAAATTTTGCGTTTCTTAAGCTGTTAGTGGCCATAGCAGATACACGCAGATCGGAAGTGTTTGGCGGCTACTCGATAGATGGCGCCAGTGTTTCTTACTGTCGCAAGCGGCCACAACGCGCGTGTTCACTCTCGAACGCAAATGTGCGAACCAGGCTTTAAGCTATAACTCGTCGCAACACAATATGGCGGAGATTCATAAAATTGAGACAACAAAGAAAGAAGGAAACGTTAAGGGATAAATTGAGTTCCCCACTTTTAGACCGGAACCGAGTTGCACTCGGCATACGTTAGTCGGCAATGTGCCTAACAGGACGCTGCTTGCCGGAGGAAAGGGGAAAAACAAGAACGAGAGTTCTATCTAATAACGTGGAACAAAAGGGGGAACCGCCATCAGCACAAAGAGACGCCGCCGCAATGCAATCAACGGGGAACTATTGGAGGTTGGGGGCTGGCACGACGCGGTGGACCGAGGGCGGGAGAGACGTTATTTCTGGTGCACTCCGTGCGTCGGAAATTAGGGACCCCCATAGACTTCCGGATGCATCTAGCGTCGCATCAAGGTGCTGCGCGGAAAAGCCGAACACACAAAAGCAGGAAAAACAAAGGCGGGGGTGGAAAACTCCATGGGGACTCGGTCCCAGACCACACCGACGGAGCGCCGATGTTTTGACGGACGGAGGGACGAAGAGGAGTCGCTGATGACGCGAGGAAACGAGACGCGGTCTTTCGGGGCCGCCTAAATCAACTACGCATCGCAGAATGCCAGAAATTCGTGTGTATGCGACGCGATAGCGGTGGTGATGGGATGCGCAGGTTTCGAAAACACGACGTTAACCGGATCAAAGGATAAAAAAATAAAAATAAACTTCCCGACGAGGTGACATAGTATTACAATAGGTGACATAACTCAAACATCACATAATAAACTTCTAATTGGTGACATATCATAACCGACGAGGTAACATAAACTTAGGCCTAATGCTTGCCAAAACAAACAGTAGCCGTCTGGGCGCCTGCGCCATTTATTGTTAGCGATATAAACTTTCCAGGAAGGGCAATAGTGTTTTCTTCTTTGCTGAGGTTGTTTTTACCGAAATGAATTAAACAGACACCGTCAATATTATTTCTTGGGGACAAAATCGTTTTTAACACAGGATACGTTTTATCAGCCGATATGCAAGAAATTCTGAAACAACCGTTTTTTTTTTTACCAATATTAATTAAAAAGACAGCATCAGTATTTTTTCTTGTGGATAAAAATCGTTTTCAACACAAAATAAGTTTTCTCAGCCGATTTGCAGAATGGAGTTCTGTAACAGCCGATAGTAACGAAAAACCGGCACCGAAAAGCGCTCCACCCATAGGGCAGCACATAAAAAAAGACTCCAGTCAGCCGGCAGGATCTCTAGTCACAACCTCGAGATCGTGCGCCAAGTGCTTTGCCAACTGAGCTATCCACGGCTGGTGGTCGGAGCACGGAAAAAGCGAAATCTTTGGCGCTGCGCGCGAGGGCCTTTCCTGTTGCGCCTCGCCATCTCCCGGCGTGTGTCAGAAACGAGAGCCAATCTCCGAAAGGCGGTACAGCTCAGACGCCCTTCTCTTCTTCTCAGGAAGGTCCATCGCACATTATGCGCGTGTTTGTCAGCATGATCCAGCGTGCGCGTTTGTCAGCATGATCCAGCTTGTGTATTTCGTAGCATTCCTTCACCTAGGTAACGTCACCTTCTCAAACTTTCGCATTTTGTCACCACCGCTATGGTCAGTCACACGAAGTTTGAGCTTTCTGCGAGTCACTTTATTTGTGCCGAGTGAAAAACCGGGTTTTGCTTTCTCTGTCGCACCTTGCGGTTCTTCTATACGGGGTGGGAGATATTGTCACGAATGAAGGCGACGAGAGGGTAAACAGTGAACTGAAAATAAAGGTTTCATCGGCGAACTTGTGCCAAGCGTCGTCTCTCATGTTATCCCTAACACGGCTTGAAGGCGAAAGCCCAAGTGCCGATGCATTCAAGACAGATACGTTCACGTCCTCTTTTTTCACATTGATTACTCTTAATTCCTCTTAACTCGCTTTGTCATCCTTGGTAATTTCATTGCCTCTACTTTGCCTGAGTGGTCCCGTAAACGTTTTGGTACGCTTTGTGTCACCGACGTGCTCTCTCTCAGGGACTTCGAAGGTCGACTGAACGGTGAGAGGTATAGGCTTTCGCCTTAATAAAAAAACGAGCGTCGAGACAGCAGAAAAGCGTGCAGCGATTTGGCGGCGTAACAGCAAGCGAGAGCGAGACCGACTTGGCAAGGTCATTCTGGCCTCCTTATCTTTTTACGCTCGGGGTAAGAGTGTACGTAAATCTTCTAGATGAAGGGAGAAGCGCATCTTCTCGATCATACGCGCGGCAATACAAATCTATTGGAAGTTACCGCGTGTCCAGACATTCGAAACGGCGCAATCGCCAAGACAGCCAGCTTGCGTCCGTTTCCCGAATATAAACACTTAAGCGAGGCAAAAGGGAAGAGATGCTACGAATTCTCGAAAATTTGTGCAACGCTGGTTTTCTTGCAAAACCAATAGTTTGGCCTACGTGAAACTCCGCTTCACCATAGGATAAAAAGTGTTTACCTTTGTTTCTTTTTATACGGAACGTAACATACCGTTTATCAATACTCTAAATTGGTCACACAACACCCTAAAAAAAAAAAAAAGAAAAAAAAAAGAAACGTTCTTGAAAGGTTTTTTGACGCCCCAAAAACTCTTTTAGCTCGTGAAAAACGGTTTCGCCCTCCCCCCCCCCCCCCCCCTAACTAGAAAAACAATTGGACGACAACGAACTCTTCCGTATTAAAAAGGAGCCTAAAAGAATCCCCTATAGGTTTTTTACGAAGGACCCTTTTAGGGGGTGCTTAAATAACTTTTTAAGGCGCAAAATGTGGACAAGCCGAAGAGACCCCTAAAAAGTATTTTATAACCAAACTTTTTTTTTTTTTTTTTTTAAGAGTGCATTGGACCGAACAGAATCGTTAAGATTTGCGATTCAGCGCCTCCCTTTCCCGCTTAAAAAAGATGGAGGACGAAAGGGGGAGCTTTGGTTGAACGACAGCGCGCCCTATGACCGCTGACAAGTACTAATATTGATGTACTGACGTCTCGCGTGCATATGAAGGAAAGCAACGCCAGACCGGTTTCCGAACACCACGGTGACAGAGAAGGAAGAAGGACGACTCACGGCGAGGTACTGCGGCGTAACCGTTCCCAGGTTGACGAAGTTGGCCATGGTCCACAGGTTGGTCATCACCTGCTGCTGCCTCTTCTGCTCCTTCTCCTTCTGCGTGTCCGCGAACTTCACCACCATCGGGTTGTTGCAGCCCTGCGCGGGAAGGCACGGCGCGCGTCAGCAGCGCACTACGCATCCGCCATACGATTCGTCAACGATATGGCCGTCCCGGACCTTTAGGAAAATAAAATAATGCCCACGTCACACGAGAGGGGGATAAGGCCAGTTTCACCGAATGAAATTCGCGTGTGACCGACTCATTCGACGATCACACAAATTTCTCACCAAACATCAGCGTAGCAGTATATACTCCGTCGCTCCGTCGGCCGATCGAGGAAGACATACTCAAACACGCGATACGGCTTATTGCACGCGGACGCAGTACAACAGTCAGGAAAGGCGAGAAGTGCACTAATTGTATTGGGCAACATACATTCCGCTCCCACTCCCCTTTCTCTCCCTCTCTCACACACCATGCAAACACACGCACACCAGGCCGGCTGCACCTGAACCTGTCCCTTAACGGCTCGCCCATTCCCGGAGCGCGGTCCACAAATCGCCTCCGAGGCAACAAACAATCGGGCAATCAGGCGCGAGGGTAAGGCAATAAACGCAACCGAATTAGCGGCCATTCGCGCGGCCGCACGCTCTCCTCGTTCCCGGTTGCGGAAAAGCGACTCGGGAAGCTACGGGCCGGAAGGAAGCGCCCATTTAGGCGCGAAACTGCCGCCTTCGGATGCCACATTCTTCAATCGACTCGGACTTCCCGAAGAGCACCCGGTTCTATAGCTACACTCCCTTACACTCGAAGAAGTGCGACTGAAGCCGACGCAAAGGAGAGAGAGAGAGAGAGAGAGACTCAACAGCTCAAGGTGAGGAGAAAGATAGATCGAAGTGAAGCGGTATAGATCAGAAAAATAAAAAAAAAATGAAGGCGAGAGAAAATTAAAAAAGAAGACAATGGAATTAAAGATTAATTTCCACGAGAACACTTTTCTTAAGTCGTAAGGAAAACGTCGCGACGAAACCGCTAAGGCTCATAAGCACATTTGTGTTTGTCAGCTGCGGCAGGCGGCTGCAGAACGTTTGCCGAGAGCGTTTCGCGAATGGGGTGTGAGGGATGCTCGGACGGTGCAAACAATTCCTGGTGGGCCGCGGAATGGTTAGCTGTCAACGATGGTTTGTCGTTAAAAGCCTCGGTAACGAAAGCACAAACACCGCTAAATCAATAAAAAAAAAATAAAAAAAACGGCATGTTGTGTTTTTGCGTCCGGCATAGGCTGGATTGGTTTGCACACATATTGGCGGTACAGTCGGTGGTGTTTCTCCACCTATTACGCGTGTCTCGCCTTCAGGCTCCATGCGCGGGGAAGCTACGCGAGTTCCCAACGCAAGGACAGAAATTTCATCGCCAAAGTGTGCGAGTCTTGGAGAGAGAGCCTCGGTTTGCTTCGCGAAGCGGGGAAGCTCTAGAAGGCAGCTCTGACGGCTAAAAGCAAGAAACTGACCGCTTTTCGAAGTCACTGTACTGGCAGTGAGGGGGCAAACGAGCTGGGGGATATTACTAGGCATAACACGACACCCAGACTGCAGGAGGCAAAAACGACACAAACGCAGACTTCTTTGCATTTGTATGGTTTTTGCTCCCTGTAGTCTCCGGGTTATGTCTAGTCACTACACAATTCGTTTCACCATAAAAGCTGGACTCCATGGCGCGCAAAAAAGCGACGAATTTCACCCGGCAGCGTTCGCTCTCAGCGTCAGAAGAGTGTCTGTCGCGCCGTGCGTAAAGCGAACGTGCCGCCGGGCGTAGCCTCGTCGGTCTTTCGCCGCATACTATTCGCTCCATGGAGTTCAGCATTAAGGCAGAATGCAGACAAACAAACGCAAAGTCACGGATTATGCCCGGCGCGTGATTCATTCAGCGGGTGAAAACTTACGCACTGAAAAACAATGAGGGGTGCTTGATTGGCCTCGTCGGCTTGAAGCGTCGGCTGCACTCCGAGTTAATGTAAAACAAGACAAAAAAAAAAATATTCGTGTAACTCAGAAGATGATGTAAAGCATCTATGTTTCGGCGTTTATTATTTCGATTCTTCTAGGATTAACTAGTATAAACCTCAAAATCGGCGCGTTTATCGGCCCGCATTGTATACCACTCCTGTTGAAAACCGAACAGTGGTAAGAACGAAATGCAAAAAAACTTCCGCGTGTAAATCTAACCGAACAGACTGTCACGCGAAGCGACTCGTCAAACTGCCCAAATGGCGACACTACGCTGACTCACGCTAAAAGAAAAAGCGTCTCTGATCGGTTCAAACACGTCCTTAACAAACAAACAAACAAAAAACAACACACCCACCCACACAAGTCCTTGTGGAAGGTTTCCGTCCACTAGCTGGCTGCAGAGCAAGCTATAAACCGGACAGGCGTGTGGCGTATTCATCTCTACTGATGTGCTATCGACAGGACCGCGGTGATCGACACTTTTACGCGGCTGTGATACGTCTACAGTCAAAAAACGAGTTGACAAAAAAATTCGCAGCCGTATTTCGATAATATATCGAGACGCAGCCGGCGCTCAAGTTATATATCACTCCTTCCGTGGCACGGGGCGCCTTTTCTTTTTTTGAGAACGTTGCCTAGTCACTCTTTTTTACCCTGTGACGACACAAATATTGTACAGAACAGGCGAGGAATCGCCGTGTGGGGACCCATAAGCATTTGTCAACCAGCGACGCGTGTCAATACGCGCAGTTGGCTCGCGGCACAGAAGCTTAGCAGCTGGCCAACTAGATCAACTTCGTAGGTCAACTCTCTTAGCCTTCACTGTGCTATGCCACGGTGCGCAACGGATGCTCGCGACATCTAAGTAAGCTTCGGCAAGCGTGCAATACAGCGTTAAAATAACTAGCACGCGCAGTTTGCTCGCGGCACAGAAGCTTAGCAGCTGGCCAACTACGTCAACTCCGTAGGTCAACTCTCTTAGCCTTCACTGTGCTATGCCAAGGCGCGCAACGGATGCTCGCGATATTTAAGCAAGCTTCGGTAAGCGTGCAATTCAGCGTTAAAATAACTAGCACGCGCAGTTTGCTCGCGGCACAGAAGCTTAGCAGCTGGCCAACTACGTCAACTCCGTAGGTCAACTCTCTTAGCCTTCACTGTGCTATGCCACGGTGCGCAACGGATGCTCGCGACATCTAAGTAAGCTTCGGCAAGCGTGCAATACAGCGTTAAAATAACTAGCACGCGCAGTTGGCTCGCGGCACAGAAGCTTAGCAGCTGGCCAACTAGGTCAACTTCGTAGGTCAACTCTCTTAGCCTTCACTGTGCTATGCCACGGTGCGCAACGGATGATCGCGACATCTAAGTAAGCTTCGGCAAGCGTGCAATACAGCGTTAAAATAACTAGCACGCGCAGTTGGCTCGCGGCACAGAAGCTTAGCAGCTGGCCAACTAGGTCAACTTCGTAGGTCAACTCTCTTAGCCTTCACTGTGCTATGCCACGGTGCGCAACGGATGCTCGCGACATCTAAGTAAGCTTCGGCAAGCGTGCAATACAGCGTTAAAATAACTAGCACGCGCAGTTGGCTCGCGGCACAGAAGCTTAGCTGCTGGCCAACAAGGTCAACTTCGTAGGTCAACTCTCTTAGCCTTCACTGTGCTATGCCACGGTGCGCAACGGATGCTCGCGACATCTAAGTAAGCTTCGGCAAGCGTGCAATACAGCGTTAAAATAACTAGCACGCGCAGTTGGCTCGCGGCACAGAAGCTTAGCAGCTGGCCAACTAGGTCCACTTCGTAGGCCAACTCTCTTAGCCTTCACTGTGCTATGCCACGGTGCGCAACGGATGCTCGCGACATCTAAGTAAGCTTCGGTAAGCGTGCAATACAGCGTTAAAATAACTAGCACGCGCAGTTGGCTCGCGGCACAGAAGCTTAGCAGCTGGCCAACTAGGTCAACTTCGTAGGTCAACTCTCTTAGCCTTCACTGTGCTATGCCACGGTGAGCAACGGATGCTCGCGACATCTAAGTAAGCTTCGGCAAGCGTGCAATACAGCGTTAAAATAACTAGCACGCGCAGTTGGCTCGCGGCACAGAAGCTTAGCAGCTGGCCAACTAGGTCCACTTCGTAGGCCAACTCTCTTAGCCTTCACTGTGCTATGCCACGGTGCGCAACGGATGCTCGCGACATCTAAGTAAGCTTCGGTAAGCGTGCAATACAGCGTTAAAATAACTAGCACGCGCAGTTGGCTCGCGGCACAGAAGCTTAGCAGCTGGCCAACTAGGTCCACTTCGTAGGCCAACTCTCTTAGCCTTCACTGTGCTATGCCACGGTGCGCAACGGATGCTCGCGACATCTAAGCAAGCTTCGGTAAGCGTGATATTGAGCGTTAAAATAACTAGCACGCAGTTGGCTCGCGGCACAGAAGCTTAGCAGCTGGCCAACTAGGTCAGCTTCGTAGGTCAACTCTCTTAGCCTTCACTGTGCTATGCCGCGGTGCGCAACGGATGCTCGCGACATCTAAGAAAGCTTCGGCAAGCGTGCAATACAGCGTTAAAATAACTAGCACGCGCAGTTGGCTCGCGGCACAGAAGCTTAGCAGCTGGCCAACTAGATCAACTTCGTAGGTCAACTCTCTTAGCCTTCACTGTGCTACGCCACGGTGCGCAACGGATGCTCGCGACATCTAAGTAAGCTTCGGCAAGCGTGCAATACAGCGTTAAAATAACTAGCACGCGCAGTTGGCTCGCGGCACAGAAGCTTAGCAGCTGGCCAACTAGGTCAACTTCGTAGGTCAACTCTCTTAGCCTTCACTGTGCTATGCCACGGTGAGCAACGGATGCTCGCGACATCTAAGTAAGCTTCGGCAAGCGTGCAATACAGCGTTAAAATAACTAGCACGCGCAGTTGGCTCGCGGCACAGAAGCTTAGCAGCTGGCCAACTAGGTCACCTTCGTAGGTCAACTCTCTTAGCCTTCACTGTGCTATGCCACGGTGCGCAACGGATGCTCGCGACATCTAAGTAAGCTTCGGCAAGCGTGCAATACAGCGTTAAAATAACTAGCACGCGCAGTTGGCTCGCGGCAC